ATGTGACCTCGCGTGACTACTATATGTATATATATTACCCTATAATTAGTTACTCTAATCTCTATCCTATCTATCTTAGATGACCAATTTCCTTTTGTTACTATGCATTTGATTGCTTTATCACAAAAGGTTTTAAAATTCGGATAATGATACATTGACCATTGGTATAAACCATTAGACTACATGTCTTGATAAACAAAAATGTATCCATTTTATTTTTTTACATGACGGAATTAAAGGGAAAATAACATTTTAAAAAGAAATAGTACAACTGACATTGTAAAAAAAACCAAATAAAATCTAGCAAAAGTTTATTTGTTAGTTATAACAAAAGTTTCATTACCATGTGTTTATATAAATTAGAAAAATCAACACTAAACAAAACGGAAATATATTTAGGAAAATTACTAGAACAACTTTGAAAAATGACATAATTACTAAAACAACTCTTAAACAAGGTTGAAACTTAACAAAAGTCATAAAAGATATATAAACCTTAGTAAAAAAATTTCATTACGAAAATATCATTCTAATTATTTAAAAACAAAAAAAATTCAAAAATTTGTTTGAAACCGCGGCCGTGGAGGCTGCAGAAACACCAGAGACAAGTTTGGCGGAGATGTACCTCCAGATTTATATAAAATTGGATTGAGAATCACAAGGAAAAAAAAACTTGAAATCTTTTGATTTTTGGTTAGAAAAGAGATATATGATGTTAGATTTACTAGATTTAGGCTAAATCCAGTTGAAAACAAGTTAAAATATAATAAAAACGAGCTAAAAAGTAGTTGACCTAGTTGACCGCCCTTGTTAGGGTTTGACAGAAGTTTGGTTGTGTGGAGAAGATGACCGCTAAATTAGGATTTTTCCCTTTATTGAATAACTCTACCACTACTATAAATAAGTTTACTACATATTTATAAATCTACCACTACTACAAATAAGGCTACATATTATAAATCTACCACTACCACGAGTATAAATATATCTACCACATATTATAAATCTACCACTACTATAAATAAATCTACCAACTCAAGGTTGTTAGTAAAGACGTGAAAAGATTGAATAAATCTACCACTATAATAAATAAATCTACTACATATTATAACTCTACCACTAGTATAAATAAGTCTACGATTGCGCGAACCATCAATAAGTCTACCGATCACAAAATAACTCTACCACAATTACTAATAAGTCTATCACTCAAAAATAAATCTATTACTACTGTAAATAAGTCTACGATTGCGCGAACCATCAATAAATCTACCGATCACAAACTTAACTCTACCACCACTAGAAATAAGTCTACCAATCACAAAATTAACACTATCACTACTACAAATAAGTCTACCATATTTTATAAATCTACCACCACTATAAATAAATCTACCATTGCGCGAACCATCAATAAGTCTACCGATCACAAAATTAACTCTACCACTACTACTAATAAGTCTATCAGTGAAAAATAAATCTACCATTACTATAAATAAATCTACGACTGCGTGAACCATCAATAAATCTACCGATCACAAAATTAACTCTACCACTATTGCTAATAAGTCTATCACTCCAAAATAAATGTACAACTATTATAAATAAGTCTACGATTGCGCGAACCATCAATTAATCTATCGGTAACAAAATTAACTCTACCACTACTAGAAATAAGTTTACTGATCACAAAATTAACTCTACCACTATTACAAATAAATCTACCACTACTATAAATAAGTCTACGATTGTGAACCATCAATAAGTCTACCAACCACTTAATAAATCTACCAATCACAAATAAATCTACCATCATATGAACGGTAGACTTATTCGCTTTTGGCGGAAAAATTTTGATGCCTCATTAATGGTAGTTTCATAAATACGTTTTTTATTTTTAGAAAAAATAAGGCTAAAATGAGTATAATAAATCTTTAAACATTGTTTGAATAATTACGAAAGATTAACATTTTTTTAGTCAAAAAACTATTTTTCAAAGTTATTTTAGTAAACCTCCCATATATTTATGCAAAATCACTCGCATGCATGTTGACGAATGCTATTGCTAGTTTAGAAAACGCCTATCTTATAACAAGTTCGAAGTATTTGGGTTCGGTGATTTGATGAAATATCCATTTAGACGTTTTATATAAGTAAATATCGTAAGCATACACTTTTGAGTTACACGTGACAGAGCTTGGACTGTAGGACTAGCCCCTAGTGGTTTAGGATAGATACCGTACGTTCCTCTCAAATGACCTAAGTCCATTGTTTTTTATTTACCCGTATCTATAACTGATTCACAAAATCTTCTTGGTTTTACGTATCAATATCTTATTATTATTACAAAATCTTCTTGTTCCCACAGTAAATATTTGTTTATCTACGATAATGATAGATTTCACATGACAATTACATATTCTGAAAAATAGTCTTTTTTTTGTTTGTGTGGATTGTGGTCCTATGCTCTTAGAAATTAATGATACATTTTCACAAACTCGCACCTCAAACAAAGCTAGTACATGCTATACGGTTATATGTCATTTTTTATAAGCGGGAAGTAACCCGAATTCTTACCACCGATTATTTTTTTTAGGATAAGTATAACCGTTGAGTATTTCACTTACCAATTTTTTCAATGGATTTAAAACATGATATCATTTTAACTGACTAAATAAGTGTTGTTAGATAATTCTACGTTTCAGAAAAAATAATCGGAGACCCACAAGCAACTCTTCCTCAAATAGAACCATTAACCCACCACCATTGAGTTTATATGTCATGTTACCATGAGGATGATTCAAAATCAGTTCTAGTTATAGTTATTTAACCTATCTTTTAATTTACTTAATATATATATATTTTTTTTAATACACCGTGAAAATTTCGAACTTTTGGCTCATAATGTTTTTGGTACCCGAAAACCGTCTTCGAATATTCCGATTTAAAAAACAACTCTCCGTCCCAAAGAAAGTTTGAATTCAGGGCACAAGAAAACCAACTCTTTGTATTACCACAAGACCACCACCCCTTTCGTGATAAATTATAATTCACGTGTCTTGCATCCAAGACTCCAATTCTAAGCCACTGCTCTCGCTTATGCATTTGTCTTCGTCGTATACAACATCCCTATTTATGTTTATTGTATTATTAA